GGCGGTCACTCTAGAGACAAGACATGCATAGACCGCCTGACATAAAGTACTGATGGTGACAAGAGGGAGACATCCTCTAAGATACTTACCTCGAAGCAAGTAGGACTAAGCATTAATTAGCCGCCATAGGCGGACTATAATAGGGCATTACATGATTAGGGCGCCTAACAGAGCATTTAATGCTCTAAACTTCACCTAACCGGGTATAAATACCTCCACACTAGCATTGATGGTAACTCAACTACTTCTCTTCTCTCTAAACATAACACATATTCTCTCTAACTTAAGCATTGGATCTCAAACACCCAAGGGACAAACCCTAGAGAGAGAGAAAGAGCGACTTGGGAACATTCTTGGACCTATTTTGGAGGATTTCTTCGCCATTGGAGCTCGAGAATCAAGCTTGGAGATGGAGATTGAAGATCTAGATCAGATTTCTACAGTCTCTCTCTTCTCTATGGAATAACTTCCCTTCACTTAGGTTTTGATGAACCCTAGTTCCATGTGTTAGGATCTTTCTTGTATGAAGTTTTGGATGCTATATTGTGTGATTATAATCGATTGAGGCATGATTTATTGAGTCAATTGAATTATGATCAAATTCTCTTGATTTCTACTTTAACCTATGATAGATAGAATCTGATTAGGTTAAGAGATTCCTTGATTAATAGTAGTGAATTGGTTGTGCGAGAGTCAGTCAATGCACTGCTTTGTACTGGAATTCATTCTAGTAGTGGAGATCTGTGTAAATCCCCTTAGCAGTCTAATCTCGGTGAAGGCTAGTCGCCTGCCGGGTATTCTGTCTAAGAGGGCTTGGTCAGTTTAAGAGATTCCAAGCTAATTTAGGATCTTTCGCTGTTTAATCAACAATAGAACAACCAAAAGGAATTACAACTTGGACCTAATTGAGGAGCTAGGGGGAATCATACCTAAATGAGTTCCCAACCTATAATTAGTAGAGTAGTTAGTAGAGTAGTTTAGTAAATCAATCCTTAATCTAGTTTGCCAGATAATGAACTGAAGCTGAGTAATAGTAACTCTAGAGACCCGTGGAGTCGATATTTATTACTTGTGTCACTATGTTGCAGTCCTTATCATTGGTTACACTTGGCCATTGTAAGGAGTTGTGTCGTAGCGTGTCATGCCTCATCAAACCGCCTTGTACATTCTACGCTCAAACATAAACTTTGAATGAAATAACATCGTCCTGCTCAAACATAAACTTTGAATGAAATAACATCGTCCTGACTAAAGACTAGGGGGAAGCATACCAGAGTGAAATTTCTCATATTTGAAACTTGAATCAATTTATTGTATTTCTTAGATTTCAGTTAATCGACATTACAACATTTTTGCTAGATAACAAGTAGTTCGCTCAGTAATAGTAGACTTGGCTGGCGACTCTAGGTTTGACAAATTTAAGATTTACTTCCATACTGCTTCCTAGTCTTTGGTTGCTCTTAGGGCTGGTAATCGATCGGTTACCGGTTAATCGGTAACCGGTTAATTGGTATACCGAGAAGTCTAAATTCGCTATCGCCAACCGATACCGAGTAAAATTCGGTTAATCGGCTAATCGGTATACCGGTTAGCCGAATAACCGGGAAGGGAGAGGGATGGCGTTCCGATGCGTTATTATCATACACACCTGGTCAACGAATATTGCTGCAAAAAATTGCATGCCTTATCCATTCATATTGACTAATCAATTAATACTCATCAAAGGAATCTAATCAACAAGCGGAAAGGATCACTGTTCTCTAGAGTAAAGAAGGAAAGAAGGAGGAACCAAAATGTTAATTTTTTTTTTTTTTTTGCAATTATTCCTTTGCTCTGATCTCCTACTGCTTTGCTGAAGGGATCTCATTGTTGCTGCTGCTGCTCTGCTGAACGGATCTGGTGGTCGGCGAGCTTCAAGACCGCGGCCAGCAGAGATACGGATTCGTTGGTCGCGAGCTTCAATTAGCAGCCAGCGGAGGTTGGGTGGTGGCTGCGAGCTTCGATTAGCAACCAGCAAAGATTGGTTGGTGGTCGCCGAGCTTCAATCAGCGGGCAGCGGAGATGGGTATTTGGGAGTCGCCGAGCTTAGATTAGTGGCTAGCGGAGATGGGGATTTGGGAGTCGCCGGACGGTGGAGCAAACTTCAATGAGCGGCGCCTCTTTGGTGAGTTGAGAGTGTTCGATTTTGATTTTTAGGTTTAGGTTTGCGGAGAGAGTTGGGGGAAGAGGACAGAGAGAGAGAGGAGGGAATTTGCTTGAGGACGTTCATGAGGCAGGGGAAGAAGGTAACGTGTAGGTATAAGGTTGTTGGGTTTCGGTAATTGGCATACCGGGATACCGATGGTATTTAACCGGAAATAGAACGGTATACCGTGTGGCTAAAACTGGCTACCGTATACCGATAACCGCCGGTTACCGGTTCGGTAAACGGTTAATATGATAACTGTTATACCGTTTACCAGCCCTAGTTGCACTAGCCCATTGATTGGCGTAGTAATTTTAGAGTGTCACATACCCATAAATCGTTGATATACGATGGTCACGAGCATGATTCTGACGTAGGAGCACAAGGACTGGGTTTTGGAGACAAATTTTAGCCATGAGGACTGGCTTTGGAACAACACAGAACCAACGAGTTTCTTGGATTTTGGAGGTCGCAGGAGGATCCCCATGAAGATTGTGGTGGAGATTAGGGTTATGGTGAGGTTGTGGAGGGCTGAGATTGGGTCAATAGGGATGGGCTGGTGAGGAATGATTAAGGCGTGAAGGAGGTGGAGGAAAGTGGTGATGGTGGTGGATTCCTCTATTCTCCCGTCAATGAGTAGTTAGTAACGGTGAAGAAAAACAATCAATAGAGGAATTTTGTTTTTCCTTTGTTTTTAACTTTTTTCTATTTAACTATATTTGTTGTCAAATATTTTAGAAAATAATTTTTTATTATTACTTTCATTAGTAGGGTGGACGAAATTTCAGATGAAGCCCAATAAAATCCATTTCAACGATATTCGGTGGCCAATTTGTTTCTTAGTGATACCTATTCCTCAAGGTTGTCAAACCCTAATCATATTATTCTACTGGCGCAATTTATTCGGAGGTTCATGCATTACTAGTCCAATTGTCAAAAGTTGTTTTACGTTTTACTCCTCGAGATGCGAATCGGGCTGCCCATTTAGTGGCGCAACATGCCCTACGCTTTCCTGGATTACCTTCTTTGTTAGTCGATTTTTCTTATTTGTTCTATATGTCTTATGATAGGTGAGTATGCCGTTTATTGTGGCTACCCTTATCCTTGCCTTGTAAATCTACCAAGATTTCTATGACAAAAAAAAAAAAAAGGTTGTCAAACCCTTATCTGAACGGCCGCTTCAACCGGGTTTGGCCTGAACCGAGCATGCAAACGATTCCAGTCAACCATATTTTTTACTAGCCGACAACCGATCAAAACTGCTCAAAACCATGAAAACCCGGGGTTTGACCAATTTTAGCGGCTCTCGGCTATTGACTGAAACAAATCCAACGATCGTTCTAACTTCTAACCCTAACTCTCAATTCCCGCTGATTGATCATGGGCTCTCGATTAGTTTCCTTTGTGCTCTCATCGGATTGTCAGGTTGAGGTCGTCCTTCGGATTGGATTTTGCATGTTTCTTCTTGTGGCTTTCTTCTGTTCTGGGTCGTCGAAGTCCTTCTCCACTAGCGACTGTCGTTTTCTGGAAGGTGCTTTGTGAGCGGCGGTTGCGTTCCTCTAGGAAGCGGGTACTGCTTCATCTCTTGGATTTGTGTTTGGATTCTTAGGGTTTGTTCGGCCCCAAAATGTAATTAGGATTTTTGTTTTATTTATATGGGGCTGATGTAATGGGTCTTTCTTATTGTTTATTTCTTTCCATGGGTTTCAGCCCAAAATCTGTGACAAAACATGACTCTTCAATATCCATTGTCCACATATCATATCAAAATCGTCTGAACCCCGACCCAACCATTAAGCCCCAAACCCCTTGCCAAACCGATTTGATGACTTAATCCGGTTTGACAACCTTGCCATTCTTGGAAAAGTTCAATGTTATCAGAGCTATTTCTCACCCCAAAAAAGCGGCAAAATACACTTTCATAGCCATAACTATTCGCGTTGTGACAAATATAGCCAAATTTTGAAAAATACACTCATATAGCTATAAATTAAAAGTTTGTAAAACTTTATGGTCAACTATAGCCATTTCCGTTACTGTCGTTAATGTCGTCACTAATACCGTCATTGACAAGTGATGTGGCTTCCACCTGGACGACATGTCATCGCCAACTAAACTCGGTTTGGCCACGTCATCATTGACTTGGATTCCACCAACAGATTAAAAAAATTATTATATAATTAATTAGTTCCCCTTTAATTACCCCATGTTGGGTTGCTAATTACCTCCATCATCTTCTTCTCAGATCCAAAATCCAACAGGCGACCTCTTCTTCACACCCCCCAAATCATATCCGAATCATGCAAGAAGAGTAGTTGGGTCTGTGGAGTACTCGACATCACTTTCTCCAACTAATTCGCAGCGGAGACGTCGAATTGGGACTGCACAGAGAGCAACTAGAGATTCGTCAGTGTATCTCGGCTTTTGGACAACAGCTCGGGTCTCAACGGCAATGGTTACCTATTCGGGTTAATGACATAAATATTGTTTTTTTTTTTTTAATTTACCACCAATATGGCGGATTAAAAACAAATGACACAGATATTGTGTTTTTGGAAAAGGCTTTGGCGGCCACACCGGAGACTCAGGCGCCGCCGCAGATTCTAAAGTTCCGGGCGCTGGCGCCCGAGTCCCTAGCGCCGCCGCCTCAGGCTATTTTTTTTTTAAATTTCCCTCGGGCTCGGGCCCCCCCCCCTCCCCTCCACCCTTATCTCTTTTCCCAGCCACACACACTCTCCTCCCCTCCTTCTTCCCGAGACCACACAACACCCCCCCCCAAACCCTCCTCTTCTTCTTCTTTCTTTCTGCCCGAACAGAGAATCCCCGCCGCAACTGAGGTGCCGGCGCCTGTGAGTGGAGCGCCGCCGCCTGTAAGGGAAGCGCCGCCGCTGGGGATTGAGCGCCGCCGCCGCTGCAGTCTGAAGCGCCGCCGCTGATGACTTCCGACGAAGAAGCCGCCGGCAGAGGCAGGGGGAGAGGCCGGCGAGGTCGTGGCAGCCGTTTGCGCGGTGAGACTCTCGTCGGCGGCTTGAATTTTTTTTTTTTAATGGTTTGTGTTTTTTTATTGATGTTTTGTTGTTTGTTTTTGCAGTTCCTAGGCTTATGGATCCTTATTCGATGAGATTACCGCCGGCGACAATTGATCCAAGTCCGGTCGATTCGACACTTCTTTGGGGACATGGCCAACATCGTATTGACTCTGTTTGGACAAACGAGGTAAGTATTTAATAATTATTCATGTAAAGTTAATTAGCTAATTAGATTATTTTAGTTGGTGAACTGAACTGTACTGTTAGAGAATAGGATTACGTATTAGATTTTTTGAAATTAGTATAATTTGATATTAGATTAGATAGATTAGAATTAATTAGGTGAAATTAGAATTATTACGAATGAAGATAAATTAATATAAGTTTTGTGCACTATAGGCTGGTGATCGATCTTTCCATGTTCGAGGTACGACCATTTTAGTACCTTACCGTGAGCTTTATCGGCCATATCTCGAAGCGGCAGGCTTGTTAAGTGTCGTGCCCCTAGTCCCTATGAACCCCGATGCGAGTTTGATTACTGCACTCGTAGAGAGGTGGCGACCCGAGACGTCGACCTTCCATCTACCGTGTGGTGAGGTCACGATCACGTTAGAGGACGTTGTTACACTGTCCGGTTTGGCGATCGACGGTGATGCCGTCGTAGTTGATATACCGGATGAGGAGTGGTCGGCGATCTGTTTGCGACTGTTAGGACGGGTTCCTTATGATCTTGTAGGCGGGGTCGCTGTTGTTAGGATTACATGGCTGAGGGTTGAATTCAGCCATCTGCCGGATGATGCATCACAGGAGGTTATAGAGCAGTTTGCACGAGCTTATGCTCTATCTCTGATTGAAGGTGTACTTTTCCCGGATCGGTCTGGATCTACGGTGCACCTACAGTACCTACTTCTGATTGAGGATTGGGAGAGGGCTGGAGGGTTCGCCTGGGGAGCTGCTGTTTTATCCTACCTGTACCGTGAGATGGGTAGGTCGACTTTGCACATTTCGCATACCGGCACTTCTCTAGCCGGTGACCTTGGTGGATGGGTCGCCCTACTGCAGTTCTGGGTGTGGGAGCGATTCCCACATCTGGCACCTCGAGATTCAGAGACGAGGGCACCGGCCACCGAGGATGCACATCCACGTGGTCTTCGATGGCTTTCGGCCAGCAGTCGTCAGTATGGTGACCAACTATTCCAGTACAAGCTGTGGTTTGACGCGATGGACACCGTGGTGGTTAGTATATAACATTCCATTTTATAGAATAGTTTTCATTTGTTTTATTTTTTTAGATTTAGGGATAATAACGTTAAATTTTTGCTATGTAGTGGCAACCTTACCGTGAGAGAGCACTTCATCTCAGAGGTAGTGTGATACAGTCTGATACATTTCGAGCAGTAGTGCCACTTATCTGCTTTTCATCGGTGATGTGGCATCATCCAGACCGCGTGCTCCGGCAGTTTGGCATGAGGCAGCATGAGCCTCATCAGCCACATCCTGAGGCTGAGGTTAGGTTTTTATTTCGCCAGGCTACTCGTGGGCCATCGCGTGGGCAGCAGTTGGTACACGCCTCCAGAGAGTCGCTTGATTTCTGGAACCGTCGACACGAGTTTGTAGCGACATCTTCATACACTGATGATGAGTTAGTCTACCACTCGGAGCATATGGAGTGGTATAGAGATGTCACCAGACGTTCCGGCACACGGAGAGGAGCTGTAGCGGAGGCACTGGTTAGTTATTTGATTTGTTTGCTTAATTTGTTGTTAACTGTGTGAAATATCTGACATTTTGTTGGTGTTTTTTAGTACGACACTATCGAGCATGCTGAGGTGAGTTTGCGTGACGGTGGGAGGGCTGGAGGACTGACCCCTGACCAGTGTGAGGACTTGGCCAACTTTATGGCATCCGGGGTTGCTACTCTAGGGTTTGAGCAGCGTAGATACCCTGATCTCACAGTACCTGTACAGCCCCATTATGCGGAGCCTGTCATGACTGCCTGGCCAGAGCGTACTGATCCGACACCGGACTGGGTCGCCCCAGAGCCACAGTTCAGACAGGAGCGTAGGCCATGTAGACAGCGACGTGAGCATCGTGATGTACCTAACCCATTTCGGGTTACAGATCGACAGCGAGCACAGCCCATCCGGCCTACTACGAGGAGCTTCCAGTTTAATCCGCTTCGGTCGCAGTTTCAGTCAGATCCGTCTTCGAGCTTTCAGCCGCCGCGACGCCAGCAGTTTCAGTCAGATCCGAGTTCGAGCTTTCAGCCACCGCGACGGCAGCAGTTTCACACAGAGGCATCTTCGAGCTTCTATCAGGCAGAGGATAGCTTCCATACACCGCAGCATACTACGATGGGAGGCGGAAACATGGCTTCAGGTGGTGATACTAGAGCAGCCTCGACTCCCAACCTGTGGGACAGCCTAGAGGGTGATCAGGTTTTTCAGGAGACGATGTGGAACTATGAGCAGAATCTGCAGTCTCAGCAGCATGGTGGCGGTGCGCCTGAGGAGCATCTTCAGTCTCAGCAGGATGATCTTTTCGGTACACAGGATCAGGATGGTGGTGAGGAGGAGGATCATTCCCAGGCGTATGCTGGTCGACCTATGCGTAACAGGGTGGCTGCGAGGTGTGGTACTGGCGGCCATCTAGTGGTGGAGCATGGTGGCCGTCGTGGTGGTCGTCGTGGTGGTCGTCGTGGTGGTCCACAGTGAGACTATTATGTAGTTTGTTTATTTTTGGATTGTTATTATGTACTTCCTTTATTACACTATTATGTGTGGACTATTATGTTTGGATTATTATGTAGTTTCTATTATGTTTGGACTATATAGGATTATGTTATTATTTTATTAACGATAAAAACCATTACTACAACAACTTCAAACAACAACTTCTACATGATTATTCGAAGGAAATACAACAACTACATACCAAACTACAACAACTTCATACCAAACTACAACAACTTCTACATGATTATTCGAAGGAAATACAACAACTACATACCAAACTACAACAACTTCTACATGATTATTCGAAGGAAATACAACAACTACTACATTTGAACAAACTTCTCAGCCACGTCTATTACCTCTACTTCCTCTTCGACCACCTCTCCCTCTTCGGTTGCTCCCACTCCCACTAGCTTGACCACCGCAGGTTGATGCATTATGTCCCGCTTGGTTACAGTTGCTACACACTTGGTGTGATGCACCCTCCCTTGGCCAATCCATCTCGTTGTGAATCCTTGTAACCCGTGGCCTCCCCGGCTTCCTAAGCATGTGCACATTAGGATGGAGAGTAGGACCATTATGCTTCTTCCAACCCTTAGGTTCACCAAGAGGTGCGAAACTTGTCCCATAACAAGCCATCACTGTTTCCAGCTTGTAGACATTGTTTACAAACCCATACGCATTAGCCCCCAGTCGGTTGCAAACTGCAATAGCATGAGAGCAAGGAATTTTATTTCCTTGAAATTTACCACAGGTGCAAAATCCCTCCCGGTTTTGGTCGTCAAAGTGCACTGTGAGTGTGTTTGACCCCGTCATGTTGAAATTGTTGGGGGGAGTCTTAACTACATAGATGCCTTGACTCCGATCAAGAGCTGTCACAGAATGTCCAACTGCCTTTTGTGACCTGTACTTCATCAGCTCTTCGCACTTGGTGGAGTACTGTGAAGGACCACTTCTAATTTCTGCTCCTGTCTCCAACCTGTACTTATCGAATTTCTCCACCAATCGCCAATAGGTATGTTGCACAAGAGAAGCTATAGGAAGTGCACGAATACCTTTGAAAACACCATTGATGCTTTCTGCCATGTTGGATGTCAGCATAGACCAACGACGCCCACCGTTGTAGTTATCATGTGCTAAACTCCAACGAATCTGATGTTGATCCACCCAGTTATCACATGAAATATTTCTATCACTGACCACCTTCTTAAATTGCTCAACTTGACGATCGAACTTCTCCAACCGTTTTTCTCCAGCTAACAAAATAAACAACCACACGGGTTAGATAAATTCATGACAAAATTACATGAAAATAAATAACATAATTAAATGAAGAAGGCTTACCGACTCGAAATAGTTGCTTATACATAATTCTACTTTTAGTCTTCCTTTGCAAATTGCTTGCATAGTGTCGCATGCACCACCTCCACTCCCAACCTCTTCCGATGTTATTCATGGCTTCATAGAGTCCTGCATGTCTATCTGAGATGATGCATACATCATTTCGATCAGTCAAACTCTGAACGTTCCTTATGAACCATGGCCAACTCTCAGTATTCTCGCTCTCCACTATGGCAAATGCAATTGGAAAAATTTTCTTCCGACCATCAAATGAGCTCGCCATGAGTAGCACTCCTTTATACTTCCCAGTAAGAAATGTTCCATCAACAACCATGACGCCCGGACAATTCTTGAATCCATCTATACAAGGTCCATAAGCCCAGAATACTCGCTGAAATATCAAATGACCTGGTTGAGTCGAAGGAACTCTTACCCAATCAATCACCGATGTAGGCATTTTTCTCTTGACTACCCGCAAGAATGTCTGCAAAAAATCGTAGGATTCTTCCCAATTTCCATGCAACTTCTCCAATGCTCTTTGTTTCCCATACCAAGCCTTCTTGTAAGTAACTTGCATATTAAACTTATCTTTCAACTCAGCTTGCACAGTTAGAACACTCAGATTTGGTTGGGCACGTACCAAATGTTTGACGGCCTCAGATATCATGTCGACATCAAGATGGCGATGATCCGTCGGTTGAGTCGTACTGCTACAAGAATGCACCAACTCAGCCTTTCTCACAGTCCATTCGCCTCCAGCATCTCGACATCCAAACCGCACCATCCAAGGACAATTGTCATCCTTGTGCCTCAAGCATCTGACCTTCCAGATTGAAGGTGACGACTCCACCACGCCATATTGAAAGTTGCGTTGTAGTGCGTGGTGTTTAATCGCCATCTGTGCAGCTTGTTTCGAGTGAAATATCTGCCCCTTGTAGAATTCTCCTTCAAAACTATCAACAATATGCATTGAAATTACGCCATATGAATCAACAAGTGAGTATTCTTCGTCCTCTTCATTACCCTGCAAGTAAAAATATGGAGGATAATTAGGAACTTCTTCCCCCTCTTCCTCCTCCTCCTCCTCCTCATCTTCCTCCTCTCTGTCATCACCGTCATCATAGGCATGATCGGATGGCACGCTCCATGTATCATCTTCTACCTCTCCACCCTGATCGTCACTGAGCTCAACATGTATCTCAGCACCCAAACAATAAGGATTTTGTGCCATAAAATTCCAAAGCACATTCAAGCTATCATCATCCACAATAGGCATTGCATAATGAAATAAAACACCATTCTGCCATTCTGGAAGACGGTAAATGAAACTTGTGATCACATCACTATCTTGTACTGATTCGTCTCTACGCCGTATTCTCGGAATTAGATTCTCACAAAGATAATGATATGTGACCCTGGATGGAATCGTCATATGAAAACTACTACCACCAACGAATTTGACGCCCAAATTATCTTCTACTTTCTCCGATTTCCATCGAACGACTAGTTCAAATCTTCTAAAATCACTACAAAAAAACAGACTCACTAATTAAAACTAAACACAATCATAATAACATTTGAATAATATAATTACAAAAATAAATGCGTCTCTTACCTATTAGCCATTTTTGCAGCAGCAACCAGAGCTCCAAAGCTCCTTTGTTTTTAACGATTTTTTTGTGGTGTGAAACTGAAATGAAATTGGCTGGGTTTATATAGGGGGGAAGGCCACCTAACTCGCTGATGACTCAGGCGCTGCCACCTGGGACAGGTTCCCACCTAACACGCTGGAGTCACCGGCGGTGCCGCCTGAGTCTTCGGCGCCGCCGCCGTCACTTATTCCAAAATATCATCCATAGCGGCGGCGCCTGAGTCCCAGGTGTTGCCGCCATTTGTTGTCTCCAAAACACAATATCTATGTAAATACTTCTTAATCCGCCATATTGGTGATAAATTTAAAAAAAAAACAATATTTGTGTCATTAATCCTACCTATTCGTGGTGCGGAGCAACATCGACAAGGGTTCAAGGTTAATGAGGTGACCAGGAGCTCGAGGTGGGTGATCTTGCAGGCGGATCTGATGCACACATATGAGGTTGAGGTGCGGAGGCGGGATGACATCGCGTTGGTGGTGTCGCACGTGAAGATGTGGTTTTGAAGAGCGACGACAAGTGGTCGGAGGCGGCAGTCTTTGATTTCATTTAGTTAGACGGCAGGGAAGGGTTTTGCGGCGGCGCTGCTGTGGTCGTCTTTGTGTTTCGACGATGGAAGTGGCCGGCCCGGGGGCGAGCTGGAGGAAGGTGAAAGGGTGGGGGTAGGGAGATGATTTTTCGTTTTTATTTTTCATTTACTTAATTAATGAAATATGAAAGTGGTCTGGTGCGAGCTGGAGGAAGGTGAAAGGGCGGAGAAGAAGAAGAGGAAGATGAAGATGGATGGATGGGTGAAAAGGGTAAAGTAGTGTTTTTTTAATTTATGAAATTAAAAATATATTTCACATCACATTGCCACAACGACAAAAAAATCACCACGTCATCAACAATCGTTTGTCCAGTCAGCAGTCGTGACAGTGTCGTTAAACTTTTAGACGGAATGGCTATATGAGTGTATTTTTCAAAATTTGGATATATTTGTCACAACGCGAATAGTTATGGCTACGAAAGTGTATTTTGAAAAAAAAAAAAAAAACCGATACGCACCGCATTATCAGGCTTTGCTATTCCTGTCGTCGTTAGCTCGCACCTTATCCCCCGATTCTCCAGCGTGCGCCCCAAAACCCAAAACCTCCATTTCTCTCCATCTAATCAATGGAAATCTCCTCTTCCCTCACCTCTCCCCTCCCCAAATCATCGGAAATCTGCTTCTCTCATTCCATCTCGCCATTCCCACTCCAAATCCACTTACCCACCAAAAACTTACCTTCGCACAAGACCATCCGCGTCTTCGCCGTAGCGCTAGAGTCGCAGGAGCTCCCTCAAAACAGCCCCCAACGGCTTCTC